GGGCTGCCTTCCAGGGGAGCAGCTAATGTTAGAACACTGGAAGGAAGAGCCCACTCGACAGAGGAAGGCACCAGGCAGAGTCGGGGAAAGGGGAACTGGACCCAGCCATGGCTGCTGGCCATGCAAGCGAAGTCAGGGCCATGGGCACAGCTGAGCCTCAGGGCCAACTCTCCCCAGGCAGGTGGGCCCTGTGCTGGGAAAGGCAAAATGCTGAGCACTGGTCAGTCCTTTTTTTCCTTTTTTCCTCACACCTTTCTTTGAGGGAAAGGCAGTTGTTTCACCAGCATTTAGTTTTTTAAAACAGGGGAACCAGAGAACCATGGCATGAACCCCAAAGAAGGCTGGGAGGGAGACCAAGTCCTCACACCCCTCAACAGGCCTCAGAGTTGGCCACGAGCTCCTCCTCCAGTGCCACATGACACCCAGGGTTGCGAGGACCCTGGTGACTTTCCCTTGCACGTTGAGACTTTCCCGCCTCTGTGACTGAGGCCTGACTCTGGGGACCCAGGGTGAGCTGCGCCTCTGGGGTCTGCTCCCATAATTCCAAAGTGGCCTGTGCTGATACCAGTCCCGGCCTCCCCCACAGTCATGCTTTCCTTTTAAATCTTAAACCTCTACTTGTCATCTTCTTAGTCTGATTAGAAAACAAAAGAAAATTTATTTTCCATCGTTCCTGTTGTTATCTTGATGGTATTTACACGGGGATGATGTTACCAGTTTAGGAAGCTAAAGCAAAACCCCGTCAACTTCCTCTGAACCTCTGCTGGCTGTTCAAAGCAAATGCTAGCATCAGCGTATCTCACATTCTGTCCTGTGGATGTCATCACTAGACTAAGATTATTTTCGGTATTTCTTCAGTTATTTACATCATGTGTCTCTCTCCAAAGCCTGGAGGGGCTCCAAGGTGATCACAGCCTCTGGAATAGGGCCCATGCGAGAAGGTGCTGGGAGGAGCAGACAAGGGCCTGGACTTGAAATCTGTGCCTGGGGCAGCCCCTCCCTGGGCTCTCTGAGCCACAGCTTCCTGTCTGTAAATGGGGTAGAAATGGGTGCACCCCTGCCCCTCAGCAGGTAGCGTGAGACTCAAGGACAGGGAGGAGGTACCTGGACCTCTGGGCATACAGTTTGGATATGTCTGTCCCCTCCAAATCTCATGTTGAAATGTAACCCCCAATGCTGGAGGCAGAGCCTGGGCGGGGGTGTTTGGGTCATGGGAGCGGATCCCTCATGAATGGCTTGGTGGCCTCCCCATGGTAATCAGGGAGTCCTCGCTCTTCTAGTTCATGTGAGGGCTGGTAGTTTAACAGGTCTGGCACCTCCTCCCTTCCCTCTCACTCCCTCTCTCACCTCGTGATACACCTATTCTCCCCTCACCTTCTGCCGTGACTGGAAGCTTCCCTAGGCCTCACTAGAAACAGATGCAGATGCAATACTTTTCCATGCTTCTTTTTTTTCTTTTTTGAGACTGAGTCTCGCTCTGTCACCCAGGCTGGAGTGCAGTGGCGCAACCTCGGCTCACTGCAAGCTCCACCTTCCGGGTTCACACCATTCTCCTGCCTCAGGCTCCTGAGTAGGTGGGACTACTACTCAGGCACCCGCCACCACACTCGGCTAATTTTTTGTATTTTCAGTAGAGACGGGGTTTCACCGTGTTAGCCAGGACGGTCTCAATCTCCTGACCTCGTGATACGCCTGCCTCAGCCTCCCAAAGTGCTGGGATTACAGGCTTGAGCCACCGCGCCTGGCCGGTGCCATATTTCTTATACAGCCTGCAGAACCATGAGCCAAGTAAACCTCTTTTCTTTATAAATTACCCAACCTCAGGTATTCCTTACAGCAACATGATATGAACTAACACACTTCCCAAGACCCTCAGCATAGCCGCACCCCCAACATCTTCCTGCTGGCCCACGCTATAGGGCAGGCAGCACTGAGCTGGGCCAGGCCAAGCACTGGCACCCAGTCACTGTGTTCTGGGCGCATCAGCAAACTGAGCAATGAGAAAGCCCTTCTCCAACAGGGCTGTTCCCCACAACAGAGCTCTCATCTGGAGCCAAGGGGAAAGAAGAGGAGGAGGAAGACAGATGGGCCCAACACTGGGTGGTTCTGGGCCTGGACAGGTCAGTAACAAAAAGCAGCAGAAAGAAGGATCCTTTCCAACAAAGCAAGGGAGAGTTCAGGAAGAAAGCACAGATTCTAATCTGTGAGGCCACAAGAGAACACGTGGTAGAATCCCTTCCAGCAAAGCTGCCTGCTCTCCCCTGACTGCTTTCCCTTTCTGAGTTTTCCTTCCCTGGCTAGGGCTGGGAGGCCATGCTCCTCCTGGCAGGGGCTCAGGCCACACCTCTTGGAAGAGCAGCTCAGCTGACGTTGGGCCCACATGTCCTGGAAACAACTCTGAGGCCAACACCAGGCAGTCCCACCCTGAGAAGGGACTGAGCACAGAGGCGGCCACTGCAGCCAACAGCACAGCTGGACCCGGGAAGGGCTCCTCCCTCGGGACCTCCAGATGGCTCCTCACCCTTGAGGTCTCTTCTTTTTGGTCAGAGCTACTCTAGTCACACCCACTCAGTCGTGAACTGGAGCAGCAGCCAGAGAGAGAGTAAGACAATGGTGAATGAGAAGAGGCCAGGCGACAGGAACCTGCAAGCTCATCCATCCACAGACATCCACTGAGCACCTGCTAGGGGCTGGGCCCCGTGCATTCAGCAACAAGCAAGAGAGACATCCCCTGCCTTCACAAAGCTCCCATTCTAGTATAAGGACTCAGTCAAGATCCATAAGGACATGTTTAAAAGTGCCAAGTACCTAAGAGGGAAAAAGATAGGAAAAGAGGAGAGAAAGTGTGGTGGGGGTAAGGGGTGGGAGCTGGTGCTGGGACTGAACTGTAGGTTGAGTGGCCAGAGAAGAAAGGAGGGAGGGAGCATGGCCTACTGTGGGGAGAGAGCTCCAGGCCCAGGAAAAAGTGCAAAGGCCCGAGGCAGGCTCACACTTAGCGTGTTGGAACAGGGAGGCCAGTGGGGACGGAGCAGAGGGGGCAGAGTGGCAGAGATGAGGTCAGAGCAGCCACATGGACAAGAATCCATGGGGCCACATACATCCTAGTAAGGGCTGGGTGTTTGCTAAGCATTCAGGGTAAAGCCAGTGGAAGCTTCTACACAGTGGAGGACAGCTCTGACTAGGATTCTCTCTGGCTGCTGGGTGGAGAACAGGTTAAAAAGAGCCAGAGGCAGGGGACCAGTTACCATAAGAATCCATGTGAGAGAACAGCAAGTGGAACCAGGGTGGTGGCAGTGGGGCTGGTAAGAAGTAATCACATTACATAGCAAATATGAACTGGAAAGAACGGGGTAGTGGCAGAAGAGCTGAATGGTCACAGCAGCTCTACTCCTTGCTGCAGTGACCAAGGCTGCCATCGAGCAAACACACCTCAGGTGCCTGCTGTCTGCCCTGCCCCAGTAGTGCTGGGGACATGGGGAGAAGCAAAGCTGAGTCCCTACCCTTGCAGCTGGGGGTGACACCCCATGGAGACCTCACAGGCTGAGGACCATGAGCAGAGTAGCACCAGCGTCATGCCTGGTAAGGGCTGGAGAGACCTGACTGAGGGAGGGCCGCCCAGACTGGCGTCCAGACACCAGGCAGTGGGCAGAGGCCTGAACGCAGGCTCAGGAAGTGGGGCTGGAGGGGTTGGAGGGAAAGGGGAGGTGCAGCCAGTGAGGCAGTTACTGCCTGCTCCAGGCTGCAGCTGCCTCATTTGTAAAACGAGGAGGCTAGACCCAGTGGTTTCTAAGCCACTTCTTCTCACCCTTCAAGGCCAAATCAAGTATCCCTGCTCTGCAAGGCCTTCCCTGGTGTGCTACAGCCAGGCTGCCCTGCTCCTCTACACGCCCTGGGCTTCCCGTGGGCTTCGGCTGCGAGTTCTTGTCCATGGGAACCTCAAGTTGTCACTGTATTCACAGCTCTCCAGACACCCTCTCTCTAGACCCAGAGCTTCTCAAGGGTGAGAAGTACAGGGCCTGGCTCTGGCTCATCCTGTTCCCCAAACTCCTCCAGCCTAGTGCCCAACGCACGGAAGGCGCTCTGTGAGGCCTGCGAAAAGAATACAGATCTCGGTGGCTTTCCCAAGCTCCTGACACAGGCAGAGACCTAGGTCTCATCTGCTCAAGGTCTGGTTTCACTGGCATGAGATAGGGGAAGGCGGCCCACCAAGGAGCCTCGCGAGGGGCTGTGAAGGGCGCCAGGAGGGGTCCTGGGTGAGGCAACCCTGGGCAGTTGGGCCTTCCTGACCACAGAAGCTGCAGAGAGTTCCGAAGACTCGCCCATCTCCACAAGACTGCTTATGACTGAGCGTGGCTTCCCGCTCCCTCCACAGGCGAGCAGCCCCCGCTCACATCTGAGAACTGGGCTTCGAAGGACAGGTCTGCTGACAGGGTTCAGCTATTGAAGGTTGGCTTGCTTGCAGTCTAAGAAGGCCGAGTTAGCTACCTCTCTGCACTAGTCCACCACATGGTCCAGGGTGAACCACCTTTGGCAGAGGGTGGCTGTTGCCATAGCTCACCACACCGTCTTTCCCCATCGTCTCCCACTCTTGACGTTCCTGAGGCAGCACCACCCTTCAGAGGGATAGGCTTATCTTAGCCCCCATTCAGGGCACCACCCCTCTCTGGAAACCACCTCCCCTTAACGGGTGGAGACAGAAGGAATGTCAGTCCTGGCCTGGCAGGCTGCAGAACCACACTTGCTGTTATTTACCAGGGGATAGCCTCCCCTCCTCATTCACCAGATGACCTCAAATCTGAGCTGACTTCCTTCTTTCCAGCGAGTTGTCAGTCAAACTCTGCTCCTGTGCCCTGTCGCCCCAGCCCAGGACGCCTCACAGAGCTTTGCTCTTGGGGGCTCTGGACTCAATTTGCTAAGCCTGGGTGCTCAGTCCACAGCCCTATCTGTATATCAGGCCTCAGAAATGGTCAGGGAAAGCAGGAAGCCTGCCAGGTCCTCACCAGTTCAGGGCTGAAGGTCCCACATGCGATGGAGTCAGCTCCCGGGGTGCTGAGGCTTTCACTTAGGACCATCACCATGATAAGGGCCTCAGGCGCTGGGCTCCATCCCAGGGTGGGTATCAGCCATCTTCACTTGGGCAGACTTGGGCTGGGTACCTCCTGGGAAACTGATGTCAGCAGAAACAGCTCCTCATTGGCCGCTCACCCTTGGGGTGGGGCCGTTCTGGGAAATGGCCAAGTGTGGTCAACTCCCTGGAAAGACAAAAGAAAAGCAAAAGGATTCAGGACTAAGAAAGACCAAGGCCCTGAGAGTCACCCCTCTCACAGTACTGGAAACCCCAGGGGATTGGAACCACCTCTCTGCTAAAGGAGATGTACTCAGGGAGAGTCACCAAGGCCCAGAGTTACCTTCTCAGAGCTCCCCACACCCCTGCCATGCCAGCCTTGGGCTGCCTCACTTGTAAAATGGCCTGGTGGGTAGAACAACAGATTGGGGTCCAGCCACGTGATACCTTTAAGATCTATCTCAGGGTCTGGGTGGCTAACAATCTGCTGTCCCTGCAGCATACTCAAGTCACGTGACATCTTACCACTGAGCTGGCTTTACAGGCAGCTTTAGCACACACCAGGATGCATTAAAGTAGGCCAAGGGTCAGAACATGCCTCATCCCCACATCCAACACCAAACGGGTCGGCCCTCAGGCAGCCAACTGGCAGCAGGGGGCCAGCAGTCAGCATGCTGGCTCCCTTCTCCACCCAGTTATGAACAGAAGCTACTGGAACAATAAGGAGCGTCCATTTAAAAAGGCATATATTTGGCCAGGCATGGTGACTCATGCCTGTAATCCCAGCACTTTGGGAGGTTGAGGCAGGTGGATCACCAGAGGTCAGGAGGTCGAGACCAGCCTGGTCAACATGGTGAAACCCCATCTCTACTAAAAATACAAAATATTAGCTGGGTGTGGTGGCATGCACTGTAATTGGAGCTACTTGGGAGGCTGAGGCAGGAGAATCACTTCAACCTGGGAGGCAGAGGTTGCAGTGAGCCAAGATCGCACCACTGCACTCCAGGTTGGGCAACAAGAGTGAAACTCCGTCCCCCCACCAAAAAAAAAAGGCACACATTTCTGGTCCTTGGAAGTGCCACATTTCAACATCAACATCTTTGTAACACTGGGGGCCTTCACAGCTTTGTCATCTTCCCCAGAAAGAACTAAACTAAGTGAGCTTCCAGCAGTGATGGGACCCACTCAGCATTGCCATTGTGCACAGCCTATCCGCAGCCCCTCTCCGATAACCCACCACCATTTCCCACCAAGTAAATGAAGAAAGAGTGCAGCCTTCAGTTCAGGTTTGAAAAATCCCTCCTTACAAACTCACGTCTCTATTTCCCCATGCAGCTAAACCTTCAAAGAAAGTCACACAGATACAAGGAACCTGAGGATCACCACCAAAAAGTAAAAAAGAATGATGATAATAGTATTAAATAGAAAAGCAGCTCCTAATCTGTAATCAGAAACAAACTGCTCAACACAGGAGAACGTTTTAGAATCTGCTGCTCTGTGTAAAAATTAATTGCACCCTGGTATTTACTTGCTGTCCAGATTGTAAATCATATTTTCCTGTTTACTTCAATTAGACTTTACAGTGGGTGTTATTGAAATTGCTCAATTACAGGCCAGCTGGCAAGCACAGGAAAATTACCTTCTACTGTTCTTCGAAAACAAGGTTCATCCAAAGTGCAAAAGCAGAGAAGGGGAGGAGGGAAATCAATACATGTTCCAAAGCTTGACTGTTCAGGAAGAGAGCCCAGGGGAGGCTGAAGATTCCCAGGTCTCATTGAGAGATCTGGTGCACAGGTTCAACACCACATCAATCTAGAAGTGACACGTTCTGACCAACTGTGGTCTGTTCAAGGAAAGAGTTTCAGACCACTCCTGCAAGTTCTGGCCAGGCAGCTGGGTTCAGGAACAGGCCAGAGAGGTGCTCCTGGATTTGCCTTTCAAAGCAGCCTTTTGTGTCTCCTCAGTGGAGGAGGCCTAATGGCAGCCATCATCTTTCTGTGTGTGAACCCCAATTCAGCTCTCAGGCAGCCAGCCTTAGGCACAAGGCCTGGGAGGTGAGCTGCCCGTTACCTCCTCCCCCATTTCCATCCTCTCTAGGAAGCCAGGTGAGTTCAGTAGCTACAGAGGCTCAGATCCTGAGTCAAGCACAACTGAGTTGGAATCCCAGCTCTTGAAATACATTGTTTGAGTGGCCTTTGCCAAGTTACTCTCAGAGCCTCAGTTTCTCTCTCTGTACAGCAGGGAAAACAGTGCTTGCCTCACAAGGTTACTGTATCTGATGAAAACAGAGCCCAAGTCCTTTGCACGCTGCCTCGCTCATCCAGGTGAGTGCTCAATCAACAGCAGCTACTGCTAGCAGTTTCATGGGGGAGGCCGGGAATCCAGATCCTCTTCTCGGCAATGGACGCCCAAGCGGCCATCCTCTCAAACGTGTTTAAAGAGAAACGAGCTAAATTCTGTCAATAAGGGCCTGGCTATATGATGGCCCATCCCTCTGGTGAAGTAGGAGGAGGCCGGTAAGAATGAAACTGTGGAAGTCTGTCGCCATGGGAACACATCAGCCCATCCAGACACAGCTCTGCACAAAGCAGGAAGCCAGAACGAGGCAAAGATGGGGCGGCCCAGCTCTCTCCAGCTCCATCCCCAGCAGAGTCCCGACAAGGAGCCAGGGCTCAGAGAGGCAGCAGAAGCACCAAAAGCGCATGGGCAACTGGGTAGTCAGCACATGTGACAGGCATGGAAAGGAGAAGGCAGGTGTAGCACAATCCCTGCCCTGGGAGGTCCCATACAGAGTGCAGTGACCCAGCCAACACATTTCAGAGGCAGGCAGAAAGGGGGACGAGACGTCAGAGGTAGGCTTTAAAGAGACTCCTTTGCACTGTAAGAGCCCAAGAGTGGGGACAACCTCGATGCCTGCAAACAAGGCGAACTGGTTAAATAAATTACGGTGTTGTTACATAAGGGAATACCATGTGGCCTTCAAAAATACTATAATAAGCCAGTTCAAACTGTACAGATATGAAACAATCTCCAAGAAATGCTATAAAGTGACAAAGGCAAGAAGAGCCGATTCCACTAGCCTGAGCGACAGAGTGAGTCTCCGCCTCAAAAACAAACAAACAAACAAACAAACAAACAAGGAGTCCAGCATGGTCCCACACAGTGGTTGCCTGGAGAAGGGAATGATGGTTCTGGAGAGGAACCACGTCCAACCCTATGTGAGGTTTGAATATTCCATCCCACGTCCGCCCATGGTACTTTTAGTTCTTAAGAAACAGGCAAGATTTCATCAGGAAGGGCAGGGCACCCAGGCAGAGGGAAGGGTGTAAGCAAGGCGTGGCCACCGGGCCAGCCTCAGAGTATGGGAATGGTGAGAACGCTGGTGGCTGGCACACAGGGCACGCAGAGGGCATAGCAGCAGGATGGCAGCTAGAGAGAGACTCAAACCAGACCCAGGGCTCCGAATGTCACACTCAGTGGAGACCTTATCATTGCGGCTGTGGGGGCTCCTGAAGGAAAGTAGAAGCTGGAGTTGGCTGCTTTGATCTGTTAGGCGAGCAATTTTTTCTGAACCCTTTGCAACACCTACCACAATCCCTCACATACCCTAACAGCTCAAAACACATTTCCGGAATCGAGCTAAATTGTAGCAACATCTGAAATGATCTGGGCAGGTTCTCAGAATTTGTGAGGCGAATCCAGACCAGCAGAGCCCAGCACAATCTAGAATTTCCTGGGATTCCTATGACCCGTGGGCCTGGCCTGGCCAACTTCACTGGGGAATGCCAGGACCAGGCCGGAGACTTCGAGCCCAGTCTGCAAACACGGTCAGGGTCTTCTCAAAGAGAAGCCGGGGGCACGGCCAGGAAAAAGACAATAACTGGGTGATCCCACAGGGGGCAAGGTGGAAGCCTCGCAAAGCCCTCCCACAGGCCACCTCTGGGGCACAGACCCTGCCATGGTCTAGTGGGTTTTCTCTTAACCTATATCAAGAATCACTTCTATCTATTGAGCACCTACTAGCTACCAGGCACTTTACACACATTAGCCACAAGCCAGGTTGAATTATCCCCATTTTACAGCCATATACAGCAACTCACTCAGGGTCCGGGTTCAAAGCTGGGGTGTGAACCCTGGTGAGCCAGCACCCAGGTCTGCACTTCCCACCAGTGCCTTGCCCCTCCATCCCCTAAAAAACCCCTTCAAATGCCCATTCGAACAACTACCAGCAAGAGTTCTCCTTTGCATTTATTCCAGAGAGATTAAGATTTACGTTCACACACAAATGTTTGTAACAGCTCTTTATTCATAACAGCCCAAACCAGGAAATACTCTAGAGACCCTTCGCTCAATGAATAATTAAACAAAATGTGGCAGGGCACAGCCACACTGTGGAATACTACTCGGCAATAAAAAGGAATCAACCAGAGACACACGCCACAACCTGCATGAGCCTCCAGAGACTCATGCAGAGTGAAACAGCCAGTCCCCAAAGGCTCACTATTCTAGGAGTCCATTTATATCCCTTTCTTAAAATGACAAAATTATAGAATTAGTGCAGAGATGAATGGCTGTCAGGGGTTGGGGATGGGGCGTGGGAGCAGGAGGGAAATGGGCATGGCTGGGAAAAGGCAGCGGGAGGGGTCCTTGGAGATGGAGATACTCTGTGTCTCAACTGTATCTGTGACAATTTTCTGCTTGTGATACTGCATTAGTTTGGTAGGATGTTACCATTAGGGGACAGTGAGTAAGGGGTATGTGAGATTTCTCTGTATTATTTCCTGGAACTGCATGAGTGTACATGATCTCCAAAAAAAAATTTTTTTTAAATAAATCCCAGCCGGGCGCGGTGGCTCACGCCTGTAATCCCAGCACTTTGTGAGGCCGAGGCAGGCAGATCACGAGGTCAGCAGATCGAGACCATCTTGGCTAACACGGTGAAACTCCGTCTCCACTAAAAATACAAAAAAATTAGCTGGACATGGTGGCGGGTGCCTGTAGTCCCAGCTACTTGGCAGGCTGAGGCAGGAGAATGGCGTGAACCCAGGAGGCGGAGCTTGCAGTGAGCCGAGATCGCGCCACTGCACTCCAGCCTGGGAGACAGAGCAAGACTCCGTCTCAAAAAAATAAAAAAATTAAAAAAAAATCCCAATCTATGCATTTATCAAAATTCATAGAACTAACCACCAAAAGACTGTATTAGGCTACATATAAATTTTTAAAACTTTTTTTAAAGCCCACTGATTATACCAGGGAGACCATGTGCAAGGGGAGGTGGGGGAACGTGTGTGTGCTGTGGAATTTGGCAGCCCCGGCCTTTGCCATAAAATCACTTGACTTCAGTTTCCTCATCTTTAAAACGGGGGTGAGGCTCGTCACAGTGGCTCACACCAGTGATCTCAGCATTTGAGAGGTTGAAGCAAAAGGACTGCTTGAGACCAGGAGTTCAAGACCAGCCTAGGCAACACGGCAAGACTCCATCTCTACAAAAAATAAAAACTAAAACAAAAATAGCCAGGCGTGGGAGTGTATGCCTGTAGTCCCAGCTACTCAGAAGTCTGAGGCAAAATCGCTTGAGCCCAGGAGTTTGAGGTTACAAATGAGCTATGATCATGCTACTGCACTCCAGCCTGGTGATAGAGGGAGATCTTGTATCAAAAGAAATAATTAAGCTGGGTGCAGTGGGTCATGCCTGTAATCCCAGCACTACGGGAGGCTGACGTTGGTGGATCACTCGAAGTCAGGAGTTCAAGACCAGCTTGGCCAACATGGTAAAATCCCAACTGTACTAAAAATATAAAAATTAGCTGGGCATGGTGGTCCATGCCTGTAATCCCAGCTACTCAGGAGGCTGAAGCACAGGAAACACTTGAATCTGGGAGGCAGAGGCTGCAGTGAGCCAAGATTACACCACTGTACTCTAGCCTGGGCCACAGAGCAATACTCTGTCTCAAAAAATAATAGTAACTACTATTATTATTATTAATTAAATAAACACAGTGAGGATAATACCTTTGCCCTGGGGCTGCTGGGAGATTTAAATAAGAAAACACATATAAAAGAGCTCGGCACAGAGAAGGCCAGGCATTGGTGTCCATTCCCCTTTGCACAAGTAGCAATCGTGGGCCGCACTCTCATCGGGCACCATCCTTGCATCTCGACTGCAGTTTTCCTTGCCCTGTATTTAAGTCTTGTATTGTCACTTCCCAGTCCCCGCATTCACCTCCCACCTCTCTCCAGTGACTCCCTGGGCAGTGCTCATGATAGGGGGCCTCCAGCCTGCCTCCATACACAGCTAGGGCTACCCAGTATCTGCCAAAGGAGGGCTGGGTGAGGATCTCCCCTTGGTTGGCACCCCAACCTGATCATGGGGACACAGTGCTCTCTGACTCAACCCCAGGAGCCCCTACTCAATGACTCATCTTCACCAGGATTTCCACTGAAAAGAGCAAAAAGCAAGGTCAGACTTTCCATTGATCCATGTGTATGCTCCCTGGGTGCAGACAAGGTGGCAGAGGGCCCCTGCCCACCTCCCAAGTCCTCACCTCTAAAGTGCATCTGCCCAAGAACAGCCCCAAACTCGCCAGCATTGTGCCCAAAGCAAGGCCTATGGGTGGGAGGGCACACACACAGGTGGCTGCTGCCGTGGTCAGCAAGACGCCCCAGGCCCAGAGCCTACCTCCACCTCCATGTGCCCCACACAGCCACACTTCTAGCCACAGCCCTCCACCCTCACCTCCATTCCCCTCTCCCTGGGCATCCACCAGAGGCTGGGTTCTTCTCAGCTAATCCTCTCACGTTCCTATGAACAGGCATTATGGTTGGCAGCATGCACATTTTCCAGATGGGAAGATTGAGGCTCCAAGAAAAGAAATCAAGTCATTTGCCCAATATCCTACAGCTAGCAGGGGCAAGACCAGGATTCAAATCCCCAGGCCACTCTGTCTCTGACACCACAGAAACAGGGGAGAAAGCTTTGCTCTCACACAAGTTATTGCTAACATGAAATGTTCTTGCTTTTGTTCTACAGTCTTCAATGTGTCTTCATTTGTTGGCCACCACTGAACACAGCTGTCTGCTATCACTGTAGCCTGGGACTCTCAGCTTCCAGCAAGTGGGAGCCCCACCTGGCTCATCCACTTCCAAAGAGGATTGCATGCTAATGAATTAATACATACAAGAAAGTGCTGCGAACTCTACAATCCTATATAAATCTTAAGAAGATTGGAGGGGTTTACCAAATGCTCTGTAATGCATTTTGAAGGGCTACCCCTTAAAAGAAACTGACCATACTAGAAATCATCAAGACAAGTTTTTCCTTCTTTTAGTGTCTTTATTTAGTCTGTACTTACTACTCGCACACGTTAGTTTCACAGTTAATTTTACCACCTTAAAAAGAGGACTCAGATCAAAACCCAAACATGAACTTAGCCACTGACAGTGATTTTCCTGGTGGCTCACGGAAGCCATTGCTCTCAGAGCTTCCATTTCCCCCTCCCATTCAGCAAAGGAAATGGGAGGGAAAGACAGCAATTCCGCAAGGTCTTTGTGCACTTTGAAACTTTGGTAGCTTCAGTTGTTGGTGTGACAAAAGCCATCTGTAGACAGAATCTAGAAGCAAGTATATGAACATTTGGGGAAGGGTGTTGCTTAGTGGGTCATGTTGTCTCCTGCCAAATTCTGTGACAACCCAAAAGTGCAAGAAGGGTTCCGAGAAGAGCCGAATGCTGCAGTCAAGCTTCATATCCACCAAGACAAAGGGCTTTAATCTGCTTGGGGATGATTCCGCTCGCTGATTTTATATACTAACTAAGTCATCTGAGTCTAAAGGATAAAAGTTAAAAGCTGCCTAAGAACTTTATCCAGGGCCTCTACTTTCCCAGACTAAGTTGATACTGGAAAGACAGTCTGGTGTTTCAACCAGAGGACAGAGCCCACGAATGTGCAGCTTCCATACTATAGTGAACATTTCAACGACCCCGCAGCCGGGGTTCCCATATCTTCAGGTCCTACTGAGAAACAACAGACAGACAGACCTGCCGGCACCACCCTCAACGCACAGAAAAAAAGAGGCAAAGAAAACCCCTTTCATCAGTACTTTGCTAGTGCAGAAGTAACAGGTGACACAGAGCCTACCTTTTAACGCAGCACGAGGAAAATACTAGCCATAGCAACAGGGCCAGGCCCTGTGCTTACTGCAACCTCAGAGTATCCCTGTCAGAGGGCGCTACTGTTATCCCATTTTACAGAGGGGGAAACTGAAGCCCAGGCTCAAGGTCACCCAGTTGTGAACAAGGCACAAAGATTCAACCCACATCTACTGAACTCCAAAGTCTTTGTCTTAACACCTGGACCCCACTACTCCAGGATCTTTAAGTTTCATTGTTAATCATCCCTTCAGTACTTGATTTGTCAGCTAAATGATCAAATGCCAAAGCAGGCACCAATTTTGCAATATACACACTCTCTAATACAGCCCATCCTAAGGTGTCCCAGCCAAACATCAACCTTCTGGAACTGATGTTGAAACATGGTATTAGGGGTTCCACTGCAGGCAGGAAAAATGGGCAGATGACGAGTATCCTGGAGAGGGTAGAAGTGGGACAGGAAGTCATCACTTTCCATTTTTAACTGCATGGATGTACAGACGTGCTGGATAACTTGCAAAGGGTGAAGTGTCTCCCAGGAAGCTCAGGGTGCTTCTGGGCCTGCAGGGAGTCACAATGGCTTCTTGCAACCCCAGCTG